GCTAAAGAGACTACACAACCCACGGCAGTTACCTTCAGCCTAAGCCTCCCTTCCCTTCCTCCATTGGTACCTACAGCCCTTTCTCCCTTAGCGCTCTGTGCTATAGCACATTGTCCCGGAGAGAAAATCGCAGGAGTTTGGTGACAGAGAAGCAGCTGACTGGAAGACATGAAAGGGTGGATAAGAAAGTGTAGAAACACTCCCTTTCCACAGCACACCTTTACCTTGTTCGAAACACTCCCCTTCCATAGCACACCTTTCCCTTGCTCTTCCGGCATCTTCAAAGAGCAGAAGCCAAAGTCCTTTGCGGAGCGTGATTCAACCCAGCGCAGACGGGTAGTGAACCGTGGGGTCCCACGAGATACGCCAGTTCATTTTACCCAGGAATGAAGTAGGTCTCAAAGCCATGACCAAGTGGAGAGAGTATCACCATTTCCATTTTGTAGGGGAGAAAACTGAGGTGCTATCACAACTGGACTCCTAAATCCTCAGGGAACGCATGGCTCACGGGATTAGTAATGGGTTTGGGTTAGGCATTACTAACAACTTCAAGTGCAGCACCGTGGGGCAGGAAGAATACCTTCTAAAACTTCTAAAAAGAATCATACTCCTTCATACAACAGGAGATTTATGAACTGAATCTGAACTGGTAAGGGCACGACCTTTTCTAGGAAGGGGCGCACACTCCTAACCCGGAGCTGGAGTCTTTACAAGCACTACCAACAAAGACTATAGATGAAGAGTGATTTATTAGTCACCAACAACTTTCTCAGCATCTTTATGAGCTACAGGAGGTGGGTATCCACCACCACGAGGAACATCCAGCTCTAAATAGCTAGCAGTGCTGTACAGCTAAGTGCTGACAGCCAGAAGTCACAAGAGAAACGGCGAGAGAGCCACAGCTGAATTTCCATAAACTATGTTCCCATTTAGTTTCAATCTCAGTTAAGCATTTCACTGTGGGTGGGCCATAGGCTGGACTCTCAGAGCAGTCAAGACACAGTCCGCATTGCGTACAGCTGCCTACCGGAGCTGGTGTGCCAAAATTTGCGCCAGTCCCGTTTACAAAGGCAGGGGTGGGGTGGGAGACGAGGAAAAAGTTTATTTCTTACTGTCAGGATGTGTGTGGTAGGGGGGAAAAGCAACAAAACCCAGCCAGCTCCGAGCAAAAGGAAGGGTCAGCAATGCCTCGCTGACTCAGAACACTGCTGAAAAATGTGGTTTTCCCAGCAGGTCACCGATCATGTGTTCCCCAGCTCTGCCGCTAGCCTCTCCCTTCCAGCTATAGCGTCAGAGCTTTACCTCGTGGTAGATCACTACCACAGCAACCACAGTCTCCTTTGGTCCACTCATGCACCCACCGCTTGCATTTGCAAACAAGCACCTTTGTGATTTCTTTTGCACTGCTCCAAAAACTCGGAGGGAACCCAATAAAAATATCTGGAAAACCAATTCCTTCTCCTCCGGAGAATCATCCGTGTGAACCCTCTGGAAGAGTTGAGTTACGCCATCGCTGCTGTGTTTCCACTGCGGGAATGATACTGTCTCCTTGACATCCTCCCTCTATCTCAATCTGTTACCGAAGTTCATATTTAAGGTAGATCTACTAAGGCAGTGACTTTCTTCTGGTATTATGCTTATGTCATACCTAACGCAGCGGTGTCCTGTTCCATGAGATGCAAAGAACTGGTAATACATTTCCATATTTTGTCTCCTTATCAGCTTCAGATTTACACCAAAGCCAACACTGAGGATCTCAGTGTTTTTCACCTATTAGTGATCCTATAAGCAATCACCTCCTGGACAATAAAACAGACTTCCTCACTTATCGGAGGTTTGCCATGAAGAATTTGGGGCAATTTGAGGATAGCAAATGGTTGCAGAACATACCCTTCTGGAGTCTCCCAGACTATGAAGTGGGCAGCCTTCCCCTGAGACTCCATGACCTGCCAAGTAAAAAACCAGTCAGAAAGGGCGGCTGATGGAGTCAATGGCTCTCAATGACTCTAATTTGAGTCCCAGCTGCATGCCACATTCCCTCCAAGACTTATCACTGACCTTGCCTACAGCTTCTCCCATCTTTAAAATGGGAATTATAAACCTTTCTACCTCCCTTAATCCCATCTGTTTAGTTTGTAAATTCTCCAGGGCAGAGACTGGCTTTTATTTGTGTGTACAGCACCACATACAGCAAGGTCTTGATCTTGGCTACGGCTGCTAGGCATGACTGAAATACAAAGAAATGACGGTATCTTGATCAAACATGAAGAACTCGGATAAACAATAGAAAAGCAGCTTGATATTTTTTTTTCCTGCAGTCTCTGCTTTTTCATGACTTGTTTATTCACCTCAAAGCCTTAGCAGACATCTAATCAAGCTGTTAAAGAGTCAGATTTGTGGCCCATCAAACATTCAGGGAGTTGTTAAGCGTTTAGAACCGGTTCTATTCAGCAAACAGCTTCTTTTTTTTCCTTCTAGATAGTGCTATGGTTTCTTTACTCACTGTATATACTCACCATGTTCCTATTAAATTTACATCGGGGTGACATTAACTTCTCCACTAAAAGGTCTCGTTAAGTTTTGGGTAGGGACACCTGACTTTTTTAGGCCTATCTTGTTTGCACTTTTTGGTCCTGATCCAAATCACGCTACAGTTAGACGAAGCAATGATTTCAGCAGGCTTAAGAAAGAAGGAAAAATGTGATAGTTTCCAGATGAGTGTATTATACTAAATTTAATACGCTTTTTGGTACTTAGAATTTCCACTTTTCCCCCTTCCATTTATGTAATTAGAAATCAAGCAGCAGGAAACCGTTCCTATTCCAACCTCGGCTGGGAACAGTACGGTCTCATTCTCATAGAGAGAAACAGGAGACTTGTCCTCACAAGGAGACATTTTGCACAGCTTACATGGACAGGTTCAAAAATAGGTTTTGAGTAATACCACTTTAATTAAACCAAAACAAATACAGGCCCATTATGTGCTAGTTATATATGCATATACATCTCTCAACACAAACAACAACAAGCAAGGCAGCTGTGAAAAACAAAAAAAAATAACCTCATTTAAAGAGCAATGACAAATCTTAAATTCCCCTTTTTAAACTGTGCAATTTTTTCCACACTCACTCTAGTGGATTTCGTATTAATGAGCAAGAGCTTTTTTCTGATTATTCTCACTCTAGCAATAAAGGACACGTCGTGAAGCCAGACCTAGAACAGCAGCCTCTGAGCTCCAGGGCCAGAAGAACCACTTGATCACAGGTTGCAGCAGATCATATTCAGTAAGAATAAACCCCAGGAAGCCACGTTTGAACGACAGCAGAGCATACCAGGGCAGGACAACTCATTGCCAGGGACACTAAATACAAATGGATCCCGTCATCGTGGCCCAAATGACACAGCGCTAGCGAAAGCTTTTTCGTGCGTGAGGCCAGGTTTTGGTTATCCCGTTTCTTACCCAGGTCGCTGCTCTTCTCTCCAGCTGAACCCACTGGCTTACCAGACGGCTGGCATTGCAGCGCACACACAGAGAACTCAATAAAAACACTTTCCAAACCACAGAAGAGCTATGGCTCCAAAGTACATAGTTCGAATTAAAAACTGGGGCCAGATAAAATGATTCAAAATCGGGAAGAAAGAAAGAGATCCTGTTTCCAATAAGCTGTTTTGACCTGACTGATGAATGCAGTCCGGCAAGGGAGGAGGTGGAAAAACAAGGACATGCTCAAGCAATGGTCCTGGATGGTATCATGCTTTGACAGTCTTTAATGCTGCTCTGGCATTAAAGCTATTTTATTTCACAAGTCCATCGCTCTAGGCGAGCTCTTCAGCTTCTGTTGACTTTGGGCACAGCTCAACATGTTTCTTCAGCGGGCAAGATGCACACACAAGTGCCCAGGGGGACATGGGTGTGCAGGACTGCTGCAGCACCCAGACCGAATCCCAGTCCCATTGCTCAGTAAGGTAAGGAGTTTCTCAAGCTCTCTGAACTCAGAAGACTGCCCCTCAGCCCATCCCCTTCCTTTTTTGGCATGGTTCAAAAAACAAATATTGCATAACTTGTTTTCCATTGTGTTTTCCTTTCTGGAGAGGAGTTTTTTTGTCACTCTTCTATCTGCCAGCACTCACCACGCAGCAGAACAGGCTTTCAATAAAGGGCAGTTCCATATCAACCTGTACCACTCCCTTTCTATCTTGGGAGATGCATTTACATCTTGTGCTACACAGACATTATGCAGCAAGCATGGCACAAAGAAAAGAGGTTCTCGAGAGCTATCTCAATAGCCAGAAAATTGTGCTGAGTAAAGAAGCAGTGAAGGCAACCTCTTGAGCCAGGAGAAGAGCAGTAGACAACATGCCAACAGGTAATTAATTACAAGGACTGAGGTGAATGTAAAGAAGGGAGTACTTGGACCAATGACTTGCCAAGGTAATAAAGAACTTTAAATATTTGTGACCCGTTCCCAGACATCAAAACCTGGATGTTATCCCACAGAAGAGGGGTGAAAAAACAATCAACCTAGCAGGTAAGCTCAGAGCCAGATGGCATGTGCATCTGTTTAATTCGCCCACTATAACGAGGGCGTTTCAAACGCGGGTCACTCCATGACTCAAAGCTCCAAGGGACAGCACTGGCTAGCTGCATCAGTCACACAGTCAGGATTTGCCCTTTTGGATTCTGCCTCTTTGGAGAGGACAAAATTCCAGTTTTAAAGGGCAACTGTACAAACAGGACACAGGAGTATTTACATTCCTCTCCAAACACCAGCACAAGCAGCAGGGGTCTAGTGGGTGATTTATGAGGTGGGAATGCTTCTTTGAACTGTATGCTAGATGGGGGTTGCCTTTCCAGAGTGGAAAGGAACATACAACGGCTGTCTTTTCTGAAGAGCTCTCACAGTGGCTTTTACCCAGGTGGTCACAGCTGCTAGGTACTCAAAATGAAGTTCTCTCCTTCCATTCTCTCTCTCACATACAAAGTCAACACACCAGAGAAAGCCATTTTTCTTTTATTTATTTCCCAGAAAAGCTCTTCCTTGCACTTTCCAGACATGACACAAAACAAGCAACAGAACTTTGTTTCATGTACAGAAACAGTTTGTTGGAGTATAAAGAGTTACTGGTGATCGTTACTGAAGAACGTTGGCTTATTCCAGGGGCACTTCAGTATTCCTGAGGAATAATCATTGATTTCTCCTTCCTTCCCACTGGGATAGTCTTAGTCATTAGTCACTGTTCCTGTAAAGCAAGAAGGCTTATATTATTAAAAAGCCATTTGGGTTCCTTACATGGAAGGTGCTGCACGATGTAAAGCAAGCCACTCAGCTTTGTAACATTTCCAGAAGGAAGGCTAACATTTTCATCCTTCGCTAGACCGAGAAGTTGAACATGGAGAAGTTAAGCAGCTATTTTCATACCAGAAGCATGCCACGTTTTCACGCATATAACCCTCCATTCTGATAAAAACGGTACTTCAAAAAAACCCAACATTATTGTTGAAGTTAACTATTCACAGACTGAACAGAAATCAGACAGAAATAAAGCCACAAAGGGCAGGAGGAAAGGCTCCAGTTGCCAGACTTGTTGTGTTCTTGCACACCAATATAATCCACTTGGCTATTAAAGTACAGGGTTGGGGGGTTTTGGGTGATAAATAATACAGGCTAAATGACCTGAAAAATATGATACTTTCCATTTTGCAAGGAAACCAAGGTCACACAATTCTCAGCCATACCGGTTTAAGCTAGATTTTGACCTTAAATTCAGCTGAAGTCACAGTGAAATCCAGTTGATCAAATTACTTAAAAAGCCCTCAGAATCTTATGACCACAAATTAGAACTTTTCTGCATTTTAAGTAGTCTCTTGGTCTGGATCAATGGCTCTTGCACTGGTGTTACTGTTTCACGATCAACTTACTAACCCAAAGGATGGGCAGCGTGATGATCCAAGTTACAGCCAGAACAGCTGCAAAGTTGCTTTGTAATCTCCCGATTATTTGGTATCACGAAGGTCCTCCGTCCCCTCTCATTCTCACTTAGGACTCAGAATTAAGAATTGATCCCGAAGAATCAAGAATCCAGACTGGATAAAGCCCCGAGTAACCTGGTCTGACCTCAGAGCTGACCCCGGTTTGAGGTCAGACTAGATGACCTCCTTGGAGTCCTTTCCAACTTGAGTTATCCTGTGATCCTACAAACTTGACAGGTTCAGAAAACTAGAAATAATTTCATTCAAGTTAATCCACATTACATTTCTCTCTCTCTTAATAAAGCTGATTTTCTTGCAGAATCTCACATTTTGACAAGTTAGCATTTGAACAGAACTCAGCTTTGTAAAGGAAGTCCTATAGAGTTTAGTTATAACGGTATTTTCTAGGAAAAAACAGATGAGTGATAATGCAACAATATTTTCCATGTTCCTAACCAACAGAAATGAAATAATTTTGTTGTAATAACCCTGGAGCCATTATCCATGACACGACATTTTGGAGAGAATTAATGACATTAACCATTAGATGGCTTCATCCTTGTGTTCCCTCTCTCAGCATGTCCAGCCTCGTTGTGCCAGAGACAGCTAGTGGAGACAGTCCACTGGAAACTATTTGTCTAGTCTTGTGCCATGCAGGCAGCTGCGCCTCTTCTGTGAAGTGTCCTTTCAATTACCTCATGCTTCGAAGGACCACCCTTGCTCCAGAGCACAGATTAGTCCTTAATCCAAACAAAATCCTTTACTAGGCTGACCTGAAAGTCAGTTTTTTTGTTGCCCAGCATCCCCAGTAACAGGCATCCTTGAATGAATAATGCTTTCTCAGAACATGTGAACAGGGCATTTACCATTCCCATGAAGCCACCGACATGTCACTCCAGTTTCTTTTCAGAGACATAAACTGGAGGAATACCCTCAGGACAGTGTGGAAAGCTAACACGTTTTGATGTTAACAAATCTGTCCAGAAGAGTCATGCACGGACTTTTGGTTCTGGGCTGTAGCTGGCAATGCTCTATCAGCTGCACCCAAGTCACAGGTTCTCTGTCTTGCTACCCAAAATATTTTATTCTGAAGAAGTTGTTCAAGAACCCTGTTATTGTCTCCCTTTCCTTAGAGGCAGCTGAAGAAAATGTTTGTAAACAGGTATGCCTGGTAGGGCTGCAGAAGGCTGGCAAAAGCTCATCTGCCAGTAAATCTAAGGAGGACTGGACTCAACCTACAGCTCCAGATGCATCAGGAAAAACCCCAAAAGCACCTTCAGGCTCCTTCATCAGGCAGACGAGCGATAGAGGAGCAACTTTCGCATTCTGAGTACTTGCCATGAAAAGCTCCTGGCAGAAAATTTTTCCTCAGTCCTTTCTGAAGTGCTAAAATAACTGTAAATATCTCCCGGTGGATGCCTCTCCACCGGTATCAGTGAAATGCTTTTAGCAGTATACGACTTTGTGGATCCAAAATATGCGTGCACACCCCTTTTTTTTTTTTTTCCCAGATGCCACAATGATAAATTACTGTAAGAACAGCTCCAACTTTTACATGTGAAGAAATAAAGAAAATATTAATGGAGTCAGTTTGGGGACTTAGTGCACTGTGGGCAGTTTGTGAGCACACAGATGCCTCCTGCTAATTAATCTATTTTTAAGTATTTTATCTCAGCATGGTCAGTGATAATACCACACAAATTTAAATTATCCTTTTCAAAACTATTTAAAGTGTACAATTTCTTCAGACTAATTACTACATTACTATTCAGCCAAACAAACACAAAACTTACAAGTGATCAGTGTTTTCATGTTGAAAAAAAAAAACCAAACCCAGAGGAGATCAAAGACCTGCTTCCACAGGCAGAGCTACCTGACATGCCTGACAGTTTCCTCCTAGCTCATCTCTTTCAAAGTCTGAAGACAACAGAAACTAACTGTTAGTTTAGGTTTTCAGCTTTCCTAACATATATTTTTATCATACTTTTTTCAGGTTATGGGAAAACCTCCCTGCATGATCTGTTAAACCAATTCTATGTATTCAGTCTGGTAAGTTTACTGCTAAACACTACCAGATAGTAAAAATTTCTAAAGAGCAGGGGAACCACCCCCGCTTCAGCAATACAAGTTTCTTCTTACTAGTGCTCTTTTGGGAAAGGCAGAGGATTGTCCATTTAAGTGGTGTCTAGATGGCCTGTTTAATGCTAACTTATAAACAGTTACCAATCAACAGTAACTAGTACTGATACTTACTTTTACAAATTTACCATGGAGAAGATACGGAGACTGGAAGTCATGTTGACAATTGGAATAAGCCATTCCTAACCCCATCCCTGACCCAAAAGCGATAGGCCATGTCTTTCCTATGGGGGAAGGCAAGCAGAGAGAAAAAGTTAAAGTCAAGGAAAGCTGTTCATTTCACCTGACAGTGATAGCATTGTTAAATAAGTCCCAAGGAAGAATAAAATACCAGAAAATGCATACTAGGCATTTTCAAGTTCTACAAGTCCTAATATCAGCTAAAAAACAGACCACTGCAGAAAAACAAGACTAACAGTGAGTAACACAGCATCTTTTGAATTTAATGGAGGACAGTCTCTGAATTCAAGATATTACTATTGTGTTACCAAAGCATAACTAAAAAAAATTTAGACCAGTTCCAAAACCCTGGCAAGACTGGCATAAACTGATGTCCAGACACATGGCTCCAGTAACTCGGCTCAGGGTTTCCTGCAATTCCAGAATTTGAGCTGAGCACAGTAGGAACTGAGAGAGATGCTGCGTCTAACAGCCTTGTTACACAACGGGGAAAGGCTTAGGTGACTCCATTTCAACTGAAAGGACGTGACCAAAAGGGAAAGAATGGGTCTGACACGCCGATTAAGTTTTACATTGTAGCTACAACAGACAGAAATCAGGAAGCCAGGCAGTCAAGATTACTGCAGTATACTTACTTTTGAAGAAGATGACTGAGAAAACAATTCCTAATCCAAATCCAGCACCTGTAAGAAGAAATGCAGTGAGTGAGAACTATGATAATGCAAAGTAATGGAAAATGATTTAGTTCTGTACAGAAATCCTTTGTTCCAACTCAGGAATACCAGACTCCATGCTATTTCAGCACACCAAACAAAAACGTTCTAAATAGCAACTCTGAAAAAAATAATTCTTGTTTCCTTGATTAACTGCAAGCAGCTAATTCCGATTAGCATCCCAATGTCTTCAAGTACATTATGAGAAAGATTTGGGAAACAAACCAGACTCTCATCCCAGGGAAAGTTACTGAATTTCTGTCACCATCTACAATGTGGAATTAAGATTTATTTGGCTCATTGTCAGCAAATGAGAAACACTTAAATGAAAACTTCTTGTGTCCTTGAGCTTTAGATTTTGCAGATGAATATCTTATTGTATTTCGTTTATCTCACTACTTTAACTACTTCAACGTGTGTCCTGAGGGCAGCAAAACTTTGATGCTTTGTGTTACCCTATACCTTGCAAAAGCAAGCTCCAGGCTGCTTATCTTTCACATCCACAACATTCATTATGGAGCATATTTAAGCACATTAGGAATGAATGACTTTTCACATCCTTATCCTATATATAGAAATAACTGCAGCAGTTGAAAAAAATTTATGCAGCACCATTAAAAAACTTGGCTGGCATATTTAAAAATAATTTTTGCTTTCCTTGGAAGGTGTGCTTATGGTTTTTTGCAAGAAGTCAGGCAAGTCTGCAAAACTCCTCTTACAACTCAATAAATATAACAGTGAAAACTTTGAGGTCAGTAGGTAAATTCTACCTTTAATCATATCCACTAAAGCCAAAAATTTTACATAAGGCACAAGTACAAAAGTTTAAAAAAAGGAAAAAAAAAAGAATCAGTCATGCATATGCTCATCAAAAAAATACCAAACACTTTCAGGTTTGTTTTGCGGCAAACCCATCCTCTTCTGGGTTTCAATCCTCTCCTTTCAACACAAGAAGTCTAACTGAAGTATAATGAGTTTTATTAATTACAAGATACACTTTCTTTTTTTAAATATTCCTAAAAGCATGTGATCCTTATTCAAGCTCCTGCTGCACGCATTACTAAGTGGGTTGAGTCCAGAACAATGCCAAAGAGTCCTATACCCTCTTGGCGCATAGGAGTACGTTTCTTTTTTAAAGTTTCCTTCTGCTCTTTAAACCTTTTTCCTTACAAAAAGTATACTAACGGCAGCTTCTATTAAGGCACCGATTATTGAAACAATTCTTTCTGCACTACCTAGTAAATTAACTAAGCACCCCACATTTTTCATTGATTAAAAACTTTGGATATTAGAACGGAGATGATTAAACAGATGATCTGAGCAAACCCCCTTATGTTCACTCTCCTGTTCGGACTTCACTATCCATATTTACTGAGAAATCAGAGTTGCTTTTGAAAACTCTTCTCATTTTACTACCGATCTTCGACTGTGACAGAGGTAACTGCTTTACCAGGTCATTACAACTTTGGAGTAGACTTACAAAACATGCAACTGCAGGGAAGAGCTCCGACCGCCTGCCAAGTGGTCCTGACATAACTCCCCCAGACATTTCAGAAACCGAGCATTTTGCAGAAGGTCAGTCTCAGTTCCTCAGATGTCTGGTCAGAGCTCCAAGCTCTTTCGGCATTTCAGACCGCGAGATACACACTACTCGGAGCATCTCGTTCAAACAGCTAACTACTCATCCCGTGTCACTGACCGGCACTTCTACCGAGACTGGAAGAGACACCATGCGTCACCAAGAGCAGCAGTTCAGCCGTGCTAATTCCTCTGCTCCCTCTCCCCAAGCAGGGCCTTCCTTCTGTACCTTTGCTATAATACAGCTGGCTCTTGCAGGATGTTTATGCTATTAAGGATAATTACTATCTTCAAGAATTCATCCAACAGACAACTGTTTGGCCCTGTGACCCGACTCCCTCTGCCAGTCTTATCCTACAATACACAGCTATGCTGCCTTTTTGGTTTGGGCTGTTGTACTGTAGGTGTGAAAAGGACTTTCTGGAGGTAATTACTTTCTGTTCAGACAGCGCTAGGTGTTGTTTGAACTGTCCAGCTCAGAAGGCCTGTCAGGCAGTGAGTGATACTGGTCCTACGCTTCCCGTCCAAGAAAAGATCCCCTCTGCCAACCCAAACAGTTTAGCTAATCAATGAGAAATGATTTACGGGATGACAAATTCTGCATCATCTCGATGCAGAGCCCGGGCAGTTTCTAATGTCACCACATTTTCCGCGTTACCAGTCAAACCCACATTCTTCTCACCAGCGTGGTGGTAAACTGCTTACTTTCTTAAGAAAAGCCTGCGCTAAGGCAGCAGCTACCATTAATACTGCTTCGTTCCACCCGCTTCGAGAAATGGTCATTATCTTGTATTCTCTTCACCTCCTTCAGACGCTCTCTCACATTACAGCCCCATTTGCAAGGGCTCCACACAGATGCCATCAATGCTGCTTCCTGTTGGCCATGGGGGAAGTTACAGGATACGCTTAAAGGTGAAAAATTTATGATTTCTGCCAACTGCAACCCAGCCTAAGCCTAAAGCAAAACCTAGGTCTTCCCCCACACTAATACCCAACACCACTGCGAAGCAGATGCGATCCAGTAAGACCATTCTGTTTTTCCTAAGAAAGCTTTTTTCTGAAGCAGTGAAGCTAAGGGGATTCTTCTTTTCCATGAAAACGCAATTTTCATGCAATTTTAGAGGCTATCACTGCACCCTGCTCCAGCAGGAAGGGGAGAGTACAGTGGCTGGTTACTTTAAAAAGATGATGGTAAGATACCTAGGGCCTTAAGTAACAAAAATGGTACAGAGAATTAAAGAAGGGATTGTCAGCTAATCGTTTTTTGTTCTCCGTACGAGAAGGCAACTTGAGAAACAAAGCCCAAAAAGTATCTCAGCTTCCCACAGCCCAGAGGCAGTTGGGTTCATTCCTTCTCCTACCGAGGGACAGGCTCCAGTTTATGCTCAAAACTGCTGCTGATCTCAACACCCTCTCAACCAGAAAGGCTCCAATCTGCCCCCTCACACCAGCCATTCACAGACAGTGTTTGCTCTTTTCTGCTTGGTTTTAACGTTCAAGCATCGGCTTAACTTTAAACCAGAAGCTTTAGCTCCATATAATTTCTTAGCCTGTCTGGTTAAGAACCTATTTCTGTGGATAGTTCGTCACTCATCTTCATTCCACTAGAAAGTATTTGTGGTTATGTGGTCATTTCCTGTGTCTCCAGGACCAAGGGGGGGCGAAACCATCCTGTCTCGGGAGCAAAGTAACACGTTTCACTTTAATTCTATATAAAGTTACACCAGAGATAAACAATGGCAGAGCTGTTGATGAGTTTTACAGGTTTAAGTTCTCACATGCTCAATTTCCTTTTAAAGAGGCAACATGTTGCTTCAAAGAGCCTCCCACCTGATCGGGGGACACTCGGTCTGCAGCTGTTTCTACTAAAGATCAGCACCTCTAGGCCAGGCTTTAACTTCATAACAATAAAACATGAAAGGTTTATCTTACAGTAAAAACAAACGAACAAGGAAAAGCTAAGGGCTTGATCCATGCTGGGCACTTTTTCCCTTCTTTTCTTGCATGATAGCCTCTTTGGAGGAAAAGGCCACAGGAAAGAGTACAACCCATTTTTCACCTCCTCTGACAGTTTAAAATGTTTAACTTGAGAAACAGTCTCTTCCCCCCTACATCTATCACTTCAGCTTAAACTCATTTACAGTCAGTGTCAACAGGGGACAGGACGGTTCTGTGGACATCTCAGTCCCGCTCCCCAGTAAGCGTCCCGGCCGTACGGACCAGCACAGCCACACGGAATTGGTATTAGGCAGAAAGCCCAGTCTCCAAAACTTTTTCATTCTACTTTTTTGGCTCGTACACCTTCCAAGAAAAATGTCACGGTACCTCAAATCAATCTAACACACAGAAGAGCACGCGCCGTATACCCAACAGGACATCATAAAAGTGTCTCAGAGAGAAACACAAATCTTCAGGATGGGCTCCTGCCCCGTAAGAACATCTGGGAAAAGCTTTTTCTATAAATTTAATCAACAGTCCCTCCAACAGCGATACTACATGGTTCTTTCCTAGGCTACCCAAGTAGCTACAGGCTGAAGCAGCTATTAAGCCTGCCACACCTAGATACACCTTTCTTCAATAGCTTGAAACTTAGAACAGGAGGATTAAAATATGCTTGTTGACATCTGGCAAATGTGTTGCTGTTCCTATAGCAGCTGGAAGTTTTAAAGTTACTCAATAGTTTTCTTTTTGTCATCAGACTATTTTCCTCTGCCATTCCTTACACATAAATACAAAATACAGAGCTTCAGCCTCCTCTCTTTCAGATCCTGTTAATTTACAATTAAAAGAACTGAATGATCGAAATAAAATGCAGAAGTTGCTCCCGGAAGACAGCTTCTCATTCTGAGAAAACAGCAACCACTCTGTACAGACAAGAGTCTCTAAAATAGGTCAGGGACTTGTCCCAACAGAGAAGATTTCTTCCCAGCTCGAAAGGCAGCTGCCATTAGGATCAAGAAAATCTATCGAGCTCGCTTAGCTTCTCTCTGGGGACAGTGACAGCAACAGCTTCAAGGTCCAACAGCAGATCTCATCCACGGGCCTGAAGTTTCAAATGAGCATCAGCTCAGGCCAGCACTAAAATTCGCTTTAGGTAAGGAAATGCCCAGGAAAAGTGAAGATCTTCAGAGCAGACAAAAAACGCAAGCACCTCTCAAACTATACTCTCCCTCTGTTGTAGGGTGTCCCGTCCTGCCCCCCTCCAATCCCACTTCAAGAAGATACAGGGGCAGTTGTTGTGCAAAAATGGTGAGGAGATCCTTCTGCATACACCAGGACCTTTTATAGGGCAGCACTTAGCACCAGTTAGAAATCCAAGACCATGAAATCACTTATTTACGGAGAGAATTAATTTTAAGCAGACTCTTAGCAAGGTCTTTCGTGGCAGGAAT